AGCACAAACGCCTGAAAATGAATTCAGAGAAATCTGTAGATCTGCTGCAATGAGTGGCACAAATGCATCAAGTGGAAAAAAAAACACGTACTCACCAAGCACTTCATCTTAGGTAAAGCACTTTTGCTGTGGCCACAACAGAAGAGTGTGTGTGAGTAATATTTTGTGCAGTGGTTTATATATGTCGCTAATGACCTTGTAGTGAGTGGAAAATGCAAGTTAGATCTTGCATTTTGCCACCATTCTCGTTTACTTCTATTGTAAAAAAAAAAAAGAAAAAGAAAAAAAAAAACGATAGCAATGCAAATACTTCAGTATCAATACAGACTTTTCTGTTTATATTAGATTTATACATATATACATGCATGTGCACATATATTTATACATGTATAAATGGTAAAAGTTGCTGATAATATAATGTGAACTATTAATACTTATATCCTCATTTTTTTTAGATTGTATATATATAGCCATATTGAATATGTGTCGGGCTATAGACTTACATTTAAAAACATGGTTATATATATAGACCTCATTTGTATGCATATATAGGTATAAATATTTATATGCACATATGTTTATATCGTCATACGTGTAATTTTAATTTCACAGAAACATCCTTTAGAGGGTATAAGCTATAACTATACCTTAGTGAAAGGAAAATGACTTACAAATAAGTATAAAATTTGAAAAGAATTGGTCCTGTAATATACTGTATAGTAATCATATTGGTAGTGAGATGATATATCTTATAATAAAATAGAAACTAGTATTGCAAAAACAAACAAAAAAGGTCAATAGAAATTCACTCGTCAAAGGGATAACTCTTAAGAATTTCCGCTTGCTGATAAATGATAAATTTCGTATAAATTCGCTAGTTTTAGCAGGAATATCGCAAGCATGGCTTCACCTCTACCGCAAACATATTTTGATAACAGTAATAATAATAACAGTAATGATTATTATTAGTATTGTTACTTTTATATAATTATTTGAATTGCTGATATTATTACTATAGATTTAATTTTATTATAATTAATGATAAAAAGCTAAAGTGATAATAATAATATGTGATAAAACGATCAATATCATTATTGCTAACAACACTGTTCTTATTCTTTCGCTGTCATTTAAGAAACCTGTGAAATGATCACTGAAATATATAGGCATAAATTAGTAATGGGAATATAGATGTAGATAAATATCATTTGATACATTACTTGTGTCAGAGCAGTGTACTAACGAGAACCAAGGATACAACAAAACAGTTTAGATAAAATATTTCGTAACTTGATAAAAAGAAACTATATGTATTTGACAGGATCCGCATTTTTCGTTCATTATATTCAACTTTTTGTAAATAATAAAGTTTACTAATCTTCAATAAATTCCGAGTCATTTATAACAAGACGCTTTAGCTAGTAACAGCTTTTTGATATTGGGAGACAAGTGCAGGTCTGTAAGATGAGATTATAGGTATGATGGCTTGTCTCTGTTTTAGCAGAAGGGAAGCATATAGAAATCGTGAAGAATCGCTATTATACACTATATTACTTTTTTTTATTCTTCAATGTTCCAGGTCTAATTTGATTAAAAGGTTGAGCAATAGTTTTTCTTTTTTCTTTTTTATCTTTGCCATTTTCAATAAATCAAATATGCATTCTATTTAAAACCATATATGCCGTCCAGATGACAGCAATGTTACCAAGGAAAGAAAATGGAGTTTCCGATTCGTGAAGATTTATTGATCTTTTCCGGTTGAATTAATTAGATGACACACTATGGCTCCTGTTTGGCATAATTGTCCATTATGTACCGGCTCAGTAATAGAGGGAACGATAAACAGAAGCAGGACGATAAACAGAAGTATGTGCGTAAGAGACAGGAGCGTATAGGTAAGATGGCTCTGCCTCAGGCTCAGCAGACCTCTTGTAGAGGTGTCGGCTGTATGAAGTTTGCACAGGAGTGTAGGGAATGTAAGCAGGGAGATAACTGTGAGAAGCGTCAGCTTCAGCTTCTGGTTCAGCGGACCTCTTGTAGATGTGTCGGCCGTAAGTTGCAGCTGGAGCATATGGAAGATATGGGCGATAACCATGAGAAGCCTCAGCCTCAGCTTCGGGTTCAGCAGACCTCTTGTAGATGTGTCGGCCGTAAGGTGCAACTGGAGTGTATGGAAGGTAAGGGAGATAACCATGAGAAGCCTCAGCCTCAGCTTCGGGCTCAGCAGACCTCTTGTGGAACCGGTGACCATGGTATCCTCCGTGGACTACGGGGATGGAAGAATAGCTTCTGTGAGAGTAAAGTCGAGAAGCTTCAGCGTCAGCAGCCCTTTTGTGGAGTGTATGAACGTTGTGTCCATATCCACCATAAACAGGAGTGTGGGAGATGGTCCTGACGCCATAAGGACTGGAAGGCTCAGCATCTGCTGATCTCTTGTGGTGGTGAGTAGGGAGGGATGGTCCGTAGGTCGGTAGATGGACTGAAGTTGTGTAGCCGGAATGATAAACTACGCTGGGCTCCGCCTCTCGCTTCTCGATTTCGGAAGCGCAAACGGCAGCCGCCAGGAGCACAAACGCCTGAAAATGAATTCAGAGAAATCTATAGATCTGCTGCATTGAGTGGCACAAATGCATCAAGTGGAAAAAAAAAACACGTACTCACCAAGCACTTCATCTTGGGTTAAGAACTTTTGCTGTGGCCACAACAGAAGAGTGTGTGTGAGTAAGAATTTGTGCAGTGGTTTATATGTGTCGCTAATGACCTTGTAGTGAGTGGAAAGTGCATGTCAGATCTTGCATTTTGCCACCATTCTCGTTTACTTCTATTGTTATAAAAAGAAAAAGAAAAAGAAAAAAAACGATAGCAATGCAAATTATTCAGTATCAATACAGACGTTTCCAGTTATATTAGATTTATATATATATACATGCATGTGCACATATATTTATATATGTATAAATGGTAAAAGTTGCTGATAATGTAATGTGAACTATTAATACTCATATCCTCATTTTTTTTTAGATATATATAGCCATATTGAATATATGTCGGGCTATAGGCTTACATTTAAAAACATGGTTATTTATATAGGCCTCATTTGTATGCATATATAGGTATAAATATTTATATGCACATATGTTTATATCATACGTGCAATTTTAATTTCAAAGAAACATCCTTTAGAGAGTATAAGCTATAACTACACCTTAGTGAGAGGAAATTGACTTACAAATAAGTATAAAATTTGAAAAGAATAGTTCCTGTAATATACTGAATAGTAAACATATTGGTAGCGAGATCATATATCTTATAATGAAAGAGAAACTAGAACTGCAAAAACAAACAAACAAAAAAGGTCAATAGAAATTCAGGGATAACTCTTAAGAATTTCTGCTTGCTGATAAATGATAAATTTCGTATAAATTCGCTAGTTTTAGCAGGAATATCGCAAGCATGGCTTCACCTCTACCGCAAACATATTTTGATAACAGTAATAATAATAATAACTAATGATTATTATTAGTATTGTTACTTTTATATAATTATTTGAATTGCTGATATTATTACTATAGATTTAATTTTATTATAATTAATGATAAAAAGCTAAAGTGATAATAATAATATGTGATAATACGATCATTATCATTATTGCTAACAACACTGTTCTTATTCTTTCGCTGTCATTTAAAAAACCTGGGAAATGATCACTGAAATATATAGGCATAAATTAGTAATGGGAATATAGATGTAGATAAATATCATTTGATACATTACTTGTGTCAGAGCAGTGTACTAACGAGAACCAAGGATACAACAAAACAGTTTAGATAAAATATTTCGTAACTTGATAAAAAGAAACTATATGTATTTGACAGGATCCGCATTTTTCGTTCATTATATTCAACTTTTTGTAAATAATAAAGTTTACTAATCTTCAATAAATTCCGAGTCATTTATAACAAGACGCTTTAGCTAGTAACAGCTTTTTGATATTGGGAGACAAGTGCAGGTCTGTAAGATGAGATTATAGGTATGATGGCTTGTCTCTGTTTTAGCAGAAGGGAAGCATATAGAAATCGTGAAGAATCGCTATTATACACTATATTACTTTTTTTTATTCTTCAATGTTCCAGGTCTAATTTGATTAAAAGGTTGAGCAATAGTTTTTCTTTTTTCTTTTTTATCTTTGCCATTTTCAATAAATCAAATATGCATTCTATTTAAAACCATATATGCCGTCCAGATGACAGCAATGTTACCAAGGAAAGAAAACAGAGTTTCCGATTCGCGAAGATTTATTGATCTTTTCCGGTTGAATTAATTAGATGACACACTATGGCTCCTGTTTGGCATAATTGTCCATTATGTACCGGCTCAGTAATAGAGGGAACGATAAACAGAAGCAGGACGATAAACAGAAGTATGTGCGTAAGAGACAGGAGCGTATAGGTAAGATGGCTCTGCCTCAGGCTCAGCAGACCTCTTGTAGAGGTGTCGGCTGTATGAAGTTTGCACAGGAGTGTAGGGAATGTAAGCAGGGAGATAACCGTGAGAAGCGTCAGCTTCAGCTTCTGGTTCAGCGGACCTCTTGTAGATGTGTCGGCCGTAAGTTGCAGCTGGAGCATATGGAAGATATGGGCGATAACCATGAGAAGCCTCAGCCTCGGCCTCTGGTTCAGCAGACCTCTTGTAGATGTGTCGGCCGTAAGGTGCAACTGGAGAGTATGGAAGATATGGGCGATAACCATGAGAAGCCTCAGCCTCAGCTTCTGGCTCAGCAGACCTCTTGTAGATGTGTCGGCCGTAAGGTGCAACTGGAGAGTATGGAAGATATGGGCGATAACCATGAGAAGCCTCAGCCTCAGCTTCTGGCTCAGCAGACCTCTTGTAGATGTGTCGGCCGTAAGGTGCAACTGGAGTGTATGGAAGATAAGGGAGATAACCACGAGAAGCCTCAGCCTCGGGCTCAGCAGACCTCTTGTAGATGTGTCGGCCGTAAGTTGCAGCTGGAGCATATGGAAGATCAGGAAGATAACCACGAGAAGCCTCAGCCTCAGCTTCTGGCTCAGCAGACCTCTTGTGGAACCGGTGACCATGGTATCCTCCGTGGGCTACGGGGATGGAAGAATAGCTTCTGTGAGAGTAAAGTCGAGAAGCTTCAGCGTCAGCAGCCCTTTTGTGGAGTGTATGAACGTTGTGTCCATATCCACCATAAACAGGAGTGTGGGAGATGGTCCTGACGCCATAAGGACTGGAAGGCTCAGCATCTGCTGATCTCTTGTGGTGGTGAGTAGGGAGGGATGGTCCGTAGGTCGGTAGATGGACTGAAGTTGTGTAGCCGGAATGATAAACTACGCTGGGCTCCGCCTCTCGCTTCTCGATTTCGGAAGCGCAAACGGCAGCCGCCAGGAGCACAAACGCCTGAAAATGAATTCAGAGAAATCTGTAGATCTGCTGCAATGAGTGGCACAAATGCATCAAGTGGGAAAAAAACACGTACTCACCAAGCACTTCATCTTGGGTTAAGAACTTTTGCTGTGGCCACAACAGAAGAGTGTGTGTGAGTAAGATTTTGTGCAGTGGTTTATATATGTCGCTAATGACCTTGTAGTGAGTGGAAAGTGCAAGTCAGATCTTGCATTTTGCCACCGTTCTCGTTTACTTCTATTGTTAAAAAAGAAAGAAAGAAAGAAAAAAAAAAAAACGATAGCAATGCAAATTCTTCAGTATCAATACACACTTTTCTGGTTATATGTATAAATGGTAAAAGTTGCTGATAATATAATGTGAACTATTAATACTCATATCCTCATTTTTTTTATTTAGATTATATATAGCCATATATTTGAATATATGTCGGCCTATAGGCTTACATTTAAAAACATGGTTATATATACAGGCCTTATTTGTATGCATATCATCATCATTTGATACCATTTGATACCATTACTTGAGTCAGAGGTGACGCAAACGAGGAGTGTATTTACCAGAACTAAGGATATAACAAGACAGTTAAGATATTTCGGAACTTGATAAAAAGACTCTGAATAGACCCTGTTAGGATCTGCATTTTGATTCACATTTCACTTTTTGTAAAAAATAACTAATTAACCAACGTTTTAGTAAATACCGAGTCATTTATAACGAGACATTACCTAGTACCATTTTTTTTTTATAATGTGAGACAATTGCATGTATCTAAGATGGTATCTGTTTGGGCAGAAGCTAATCACAAGGGAATCGTGGAGAATCGCTATTAAACACGATATCACTTCTTTTTATTCTGCGTTATTAAAGTGCCGCGTGAACAATGTTCCAGGTCTTGTTTGGTTTTAGGGATGATCAGTAGACATTTTTATTTTTTTTTCTATTAAGTCAGATATAAATTCCATTCTAAACCATATATGCTGATAGCAATGTTATCAAAGAAAGAAAATGGTTTCCGATTCATAAAGATCTATTTGATTTTTTAGCCGATCGAATTCATTAGATGACACACTATGGCTCCTGTATGGCATAATTGGCCATTAGGTACCAGCCCAGTAATATGATCTTACAAGGTAACTTTTCCTCGGTTATTGTTCTAATTCGCTATATTCAGCTAGAATATTACCATTACTTTAATGGTTACACTTCTCGTACTGCTCAATATATATATATATATATACATATGTATATTTATATATACGTATATATAGAGAGAGATGTGTGTGTGAGTGTGTCTACATACACACACACTTATATACATACGTAATTGTTTATAAATAACTTTATCTTACTGTTAAGTAACTAAGAAGGCACAAGTATTCCTTCTTTCTGATATCATTCCTTTCCTCGCACTGCACAAGGGTCACGTTACAGTCAAAATGACGATCGTACGGCATTTTGATATATTATTATGCTGAGTCAGATGCGGACTTTAATTAGTTCATTCAAATACACTCCAGTGATGGTTCTATTAAGATTATCATTCACCTCTTCATTACTGTTACCTTTCCAACTTATCTTCATTACTGCAATGCATGATAATCAAAATAAACTGCTGTGCTTTTATTGTTTATAGTTATTTCTCCATCGACGTTGATATAATTGCCTTCACTACCATTATATATTTCACTGTCACCCTTATCATAGTAACAATCCTAGCAGCCGTATCAGTGTTGTTTACTATTATAAGATTTCATCACATGAAGAGTGTTAATATCATACCTATTTGCACATTGGATCTGTTATATAGTCAAAATATCCTGAAAATATTATCCACGCTTTCTTTTCATTGTCATGAAAAAAGAAGAAAAAGTGAAACACAAAAGCAAAGGTGAAAACACAAACAACTCTTTTACTCAAGGATTTACGAGAGTAACATTATTTGCGAGAATAAAAGGATATTTATATGAAAAACGGATTTTTATTTTCCTCTGAACTTTTTACACGAAGGGCAGTGAAGCAACAATACAAGCTTTATCACTGCCTGTATCAGAACACTCTAGCTCTGCAAGA